TTGGCACGATCGACCTCTTCTTTCCCTGATTTCTCCCTCTCCATTGCTAACCTCCTCTTTCCCTCGAGCATTACTCGATATAAAATAATTCTCTACGTATAAAAATTCCCAAGTCTCGACACTTCTTCTTTCTTTCTTTTTTTTTCTTTTTTCCTTTTCTATTTAATCTCACAACGACATCTCTCCATTTTGTTTTAAATTGTCCCTAAATTTACATATTTCGTTTTCTCTCTTTTTTCTTTTCTTTTATTTTTATTATTATAATTATTATTATTATTATTATTATTATTATTATTATTATTATTATTATTATTATTACTATTACTATTATTATTGTTAGATATCATCACGCAATGATCGAGAGATTAACACGTCGAACTGTTCATATTCATTTTCTATTATTTAATAACGAATGTACGGTAACGATTGCGAATAATTCAAATGGGAGTTGAAACGACACGTCGTTGTTACTAAGCCTAGAACCATGAAGGATTCTCGCACGATGTTTTATCGCGAACATCGCCGTCGTAACGTTTAACGCTGGAATTGAAAACGAGCTCGTAAAACGACCCCCGCCATTTGGAGATCTGGTTCGTGCTGTTGAGCATGCGATACTAGAAAAAAAAAAGAGAGAGAGAGAGAGAGAGAGAAAAAGACAGATGAGTCAAATTCATTTTCGAAAGGGACACGTTCCATCGGTATTAATCATAAAATGTACGAGCGAATGTGATTTCGTTTGTTCGTTTTTTAAAAACAAAAAAAAAAAGAAGAAAAAAGAAACAAATGTTTTTCTTTCCTCCTCCTGTCCCCTCCTTCTCCTCCTTCTTTTTACAATAAAAAACTGATTTCATGCTTGAACTCATCTGCTCTTTTTCATTTTCTCTTCTTCTTCTTCTTCTTCTTCTTCTTCTTCTTCTTCTTCTTCTTCTTTTTTCAAACGAGAAAACTTGGCATTTAAAGACGGCACGTGTGACTCGAATCAAATGGCGCCCTTGACACGCGCGAGCTTAGGCATTGGTATGAGGAACGAATTAAAAAGTCGGATGATCAGATCGGTTTTGGTCAACAGTTGATACGACCGCTAATGACTACACGACCATCTTATATCTATCATAAAGTCCTCCTTAAAGAGCAAACTTAGTAAGATTCAAAGATATTATAGGATCATACATAATCGTCCTAATTTTGTTGAATTTACGCCTCTTTTTGTGAGATGCCCTTTATAACAAAACGTCCATCTTTATAAGAAAACGTCCACCTTTATAACAAAAACCCACACTCGTCTCTTTTATAATCCGAATGAATTAATATTTATTAATCCTATTTATCGTCCGTATCGTAACGTATCACAATAACGCATTTAATAAGATATTAATATCAATTATATTTTAAACGATAATTATCTTGTGTTAGTCCAAAAAAAAAAAAAAAAAAAAAGAAAAAAAAAAAAAGAAAAAAATTATCTCCACGATTACGGCGATCCTCGATCGATAACGTTATTTAGAAAACTCGATATAAATCTTGATCGAAGAATGAATCGAAGGATAAAGATCGAAGGATGAACGATCGACAATACCACGTGGTACATATACCTGAGTGAAACTCGAAAGTGAATAACAACGCGTGATCGGTCCACGTGGGTCCACGTGCTTCTCTTCGTTCTCTCGGCACTTTCACAAGATGGCGAGTAAATGTCTCAGATCGTTAAGGGAACCAGACTAGTGATCCTCTTTGATCATCGGCTTCTTTTCTTTTCTTTTCTTTTCTTTTCTTTTCTTTTCTTTTCTTTCCTTTCCTTTCCTTTTCCTTTTTCTTATTCCTCAGCCTCTCTCGTTCGGCTTGTGCAATTGGCCGTAACAATATTTTAGGTCGTACCTTCTAATTTCGCTTTTCGCATTTATTTGTCGTCTACGTTACAACGAAAGAGAGAAGGAGAGAGAGAGAGAGAGAAAGAGAGAGAGAAGAAGAAGAACAACAATTGCCAGCCGGATGATTACGTCAACATAATTCATTGTCTTTTTTTCTTCCCTTCCGAATTTGACTATTTTGTTCTAAAGAAAAGAAAAAAAATAAAAAGAAAAATAGTCAAAGATTAACATTCGCGAAAATCCAAACGTTATACTTTTCTATTATTTATTTAGGAATTAAAAAAATTGTTTACATCTCCTTCTCGAAAATTTTAATGTTCGTTCAAATTGATTGATTATACAGAAGTATCATTTTTTACTTTGTCCAATCAGACCATATAGAGGTTTACTCGTAAATTATCGTAATTATATGATACGTATATAGATATATATATCTCTCTCTCTCTCTCTCTGTATATATATATATATATATATATGTATATACATATATACATCCAACGATCTTTATATCATATTTGCTTCGCGAAAATCCGTATCGAACTCACGATCAATACACGCTTCTTTATCCTACGAACCGATCGAATTTCTCGAAAATTATTATTGCGGCGGTCGCGCTGATCGGCCCGAAGGTC